ATGCATGCACTCTGTTTAATTTTAATGGATATTTTTTTATTCGCTATGTATGTTTATGGTATTGGTCGTAATGCGCATAGGTCCAGTTTTTCATATTCTTTGATACAGTTTTTTGCGTCTCATAGAATTCCTAAGCGTACCTATACACCGAACTGTTATACCTAACTACTCCGTGAAATAGCGCTAAGTCCTAGCTGCAAGACGCAAGAGTCTTGCCGGATTAGTCTTGTTCTTGCTCAAATCTTGCACGGTCAGTCTTGGTCTTGGTCTTGCTAAAAATACGCGGTCTTGTTCTTGGTCTTGGTCTTGCAAAAATGCAAGAACAAGACCAAGACTGCAAGACCAAGACTGAATTTGGGCAACACTAGATTGCGTAGATACTTAATCCTAGACACTTCTGAATTGGCCGCGACGAGGTCTGTAGGTATAGAACATTTAATAAGTTACGTTTTCAATACAAAACATTTATTTGACAACATTCATCATTTATGGGTTATTATATTTTTAAGCATTTAAGAGCGGACGCCGAAAGTCATTTGAGTAATAGATATAAGAAAAACTGTCGCGCATTGCCAAATACCGTGCGATAGCTGATTATTGCGTGTAAAAATTCCGAAATTGATTGATTGTATGGATCCATGTAAAAGAAATTTCACCCATGGAATAATAAGTAATTATACTAGGCCTCTATGTTTTGATTATTTTGTAAATGCCTAAGGAATCAACACTAGCTGTCTTTAGTCTTAGTGGTGATAAAAAAATTATTATTTATTTATTGATTATTTTTGGCATTTCCAAGGACTTCTAGTTTCTTTGAAACACAAGTTATCGAAAAAAGGAAGGCATATGAGCATAGAATGAGTAAAATTATATTTTATTTGTGAAAATCATTTCTTTAGTAATAAAAATCAAGGAGGAAGCAGTCGAGAACGTCTGTATGGGGAAAAGATTGCCATTGCCCACCTCCCCTCTTGACAGCTAGATTTAAAATCTGAAGAAAATATAAATTGTACTTGGATGCACATTCCCCAATCCGGGGAATGTGCATCCAGCACAGACACAGACGGAGGTAGTGTGCCCGCCCGGATCGCGAAAGCTGCAGGTGCGGACTGAAAAAAAAGTTTTAATCCTTTCTCCAAGATACCATTTCTCTACACACTAACATTAATCAAAATAGGGTCAGCCGCTTAGGGGTTAAAACTTAATAGAAATGCAGAGTTTTTTTAGCTTTTATTTCTAAAAAGTTTATGTAGTAAATATTACTTATATCATACTTTGTTTAAAATAACACAAATCAACAATCGCTAACCACTTTCATAAACCACGCAATGGATTCTAACATAATTACATATTTTTTTAAGTTGCAGAGAAAAAATTTAGTCTTCATCCGCCGTTGCAACATGTTTTTCTTTAAAACATTTACTGAGTATATAGTTAATGTTTTTAAAGTAATAAAAAGTGGAGTATCTTACTTATTATTTACATACATTATACCTGGAATATACATTATAATATATCTTGCGGGATGGGATTGGCACAATTATCAAAAGCACAAAGAGACAAGTGTGTGGCATGTAATCATTTTTTGTGTAATATAAGGTTGACAACAAACGTAATGCACCTCGGAGGCCGCGAGTACTGCGTTGACTTGGCGATGTAAGTAAACCACAGACATATAATACTATAGCAGACGTAACATAAAACCTAGTTATATTTATGAATCAAAACATGATCTTTTATCCTTTTTACAATCAGCTACAACTCGATAGTGGCATCTCATTCTTCCATCTATTGCAGCAATGACTCACACATCAACAAATGTCAACGCGTGTCATTTTTATTCCTCGCCGCCATTTTATTCATGACTTATCGGACATGCGACTTTTCGGTGTTTATTAAGAATATTGCTTTGATGAAACTGTATTACAAAACGAGATTATTCAATTACTATGGTCAAGTACAGTGCGTATCGATGTGAAAGTGCTACCTACAATAGAACACCAGGATTAACGTTTCATCAGTAAGTTTTTATGTGTCTTTGTTGTGTACTGAAATGTCTTTGAGTCTTTTCGAAGCTTATTTAAATATTATCGTAACATGTAACATTTTTTACGTAGGATTATTTATCTAAGATACTATCGGTCAAAACTAATATCCTAAAAGTAAAGAAGTGGAAGTAATCAGGATAAATCATGATAGGAAATTCCAATTCTGACAACTGAAGTACTATTGCCATAACAGAGGACGGACTCGGTATCAAAGACAAAAAGTTTCTCGGCGTTAATTTTGTTTGCATTGCATTGTATTTTGAATGTGAATGCAATCAAGAACGTAAATAGATAGGTACCTATTACTGACTAGCTATTCATATTTCTTGGAACATTGGCATCGGTAGGTATATAACCCAAATAACCACATAAACAATTTAGTTCTAGGTTTCCAAAGGATGAAAGTACTCGGAATGCATGGTTAAAATATATGAAACGTCAGGATTGGCAACCAAATACTTATAGTGTTTTAAGTGTTTTTTGTTTTAAAATAAACAAAAGTAATGATTTTAATAGTTTGATTAAATGTGATTATGTCGATTATTCACTATTTGACTCGAACAATCCAGATCATGACATAAACCATGTCCACTTGTTTATTAAAGTTGTTGTCAAATTTTATTTTGATCTTAGATGTAAACATCAATGTAAAGAAACAAATGTATCTCAAAGAAATTTTCTAAAAAAACTTGTATTATTTCAAAATAAATAGATAAAAACTATGCCTTAAACTTTTATTTCAATTTTCCTAATTGTACCTATGTCCTTTCCCTGTGTTAATTTTACCTCCGTGCTAAATTTCATCATTATCGGTTCAGCGATTTCGCCTGGCTAAATTCGCCATGAAGATATTAAACAGACAGATTTTTACATTTATAATATTATTAGCATGGACATCACATTAGGACTTATCTATTCGGATAGGTATTTCATGAAATAACTACAATACTAAATGTGGCCCATGCTTTGGTGAGTTTCAATGTGTGTGTGTATTTGCCACGCTGTTTAAAACTGAATATTCCGTCTGCTACTAGTTATATGTCTGTGAAGTAAACAAACTATATTGGCTTCAAACATGGAGACTTGACAATTCGACTTGATTGTCTCCGGGTAGCATAAGCGAAGTGCTCTATGGTAGTCCGGGCACCATAACTTATAGACGATTGTGATACTGACAGTGTAGCCACTTTTTTTGAGTGTGTGTGCTGTTGGTCGCAGTTGACCTTTACAGCGTCACCGGGTTTGGGGACGGCGAGATCCTAATGGGACCTCAAGCCGAGAATTGGCGAGTGTCTCTAGAAGTATTCTAGGCGGACGGCATCTCCCCACGGACTCGACTTCGACCTAAGGGGGTCGGCTAAACTAGCAGTATAGCCTCGCGTCCTGGACCCCATCCTATACCATATGAAGCTCTCATAACCTTTAGTTTTTGTTAAAAGGGTGACAAGCAAGCCACCATAGTCTAAAGATATCTCTGCGAGTAAAATACTCGCACTGTTGCCTACCCTGATCAGGGTTACTATTTAAAAATTTGAAAAGTCCTGACAAAAATCCGGATATTTCGATAAAAGTCCGGACATTTTTATCACAAAATGCAAACATCACCCAATTAGTTACAGTAATATTATACGCGTGGTAGCAGACGCTCGCATCGCGAGGGGGGTCTCGTTGTTGATTTTTAAAGATAATTTATATTTTGTTTTAAAGTAATGTGAACTTAATAAGGTTATTTGACTTATTTGATATAACTTAATAAGTAGTTTTACTCATATTCCATCTAATTAAAAAATCCGGACAAATTAAATGAAAGCCAAAGTCCGGACAAAAGGTAAAATATCCGGACATGTCCGGACAAATCCTGACGGATGGTAACTCTGGCCCTGACCCAATCCCCTACCCCGTGGAGCTAGCTTACTCTCCGACAGAAATACAGCACAATGAAAAGTTGGTGTAACTAACTGCAGTCTTTTTCAAGGTAGAGATTTAACCCCAAGCGTGCGCTAAAGTTACGTTTTAAAATAAAAGTCTACAAAGGTATTATAGCAAATATTTCGAATTCTCCACTAGGAGCGCGCGTTCTCGAACATGACGCATGACTCAAGCTTGATTCCTTAAACCATATTTTGATTATAACATTGGTTCGTTTTACTGCAATACTAATCTTTATATATATAATTCTTCTGTGAGTGTGTATGTCACTGAAGTTCTCTTAAACGACTGGACCGATTTTGATGAAATTTTTTGTGTGTGTTCAAGGGGATCTGAGAATGGTTTAGATTCACAATTTTGTCCGCTGGACAACCCCTATTTTTTTAGGGCGGTACGAAGTTCGCTGGGTCAGCTAGTATAATATAATTTTTGAGATCATGGACAAAATTTCAAAATTTAATATCTATAAATATACCTTTATAGCTTGTATTGGAAATATAATTCTTTGTTTGGTTTGAAATGTAATGTCGGCTTACCTACGTAGAAAATGGGTTTTTAAAAGATATTTTTCTTCTAAAACATTCTTATCTTGGTGTACCTACCTACATAACTAAAATTAAAATTTTATCTTTAATATTGTATATCCGTTATTCCGTATCTAATCTTGTTACTTCAGTTTTTGTTAGTCATTTTGTTTTAGAATGACAGTAATCTTTTTTATTATTGTTATATTTTCACTATACATAATACTAATAGACTAAGGCGTGGAGGTAATTGATACGAAATGCTTTTGAAAAAAAAAACAAATTTAAAATCAGTAAAGATATCAACTATTTTATTTACTCACTTAAGCTTTTAAGCTCTTTATAACACACCGATTTCGGTCATTTGGTCTGCGCCTAACGGTATGAAAGTCCGTAAGTGTACCGGTTGCCGGCGCAGGATGATCCAAAGAGCTTTTGCGCGTTTCGAGACACATATTCCCACTTTTAAAGAGCCATACAAGGAGTTGTACGCACTTACCTTTTGAGTTCAGTGCTCAAACATTAAAGCAGCGAAAAGTTTGAGCGCCCAGACACGTCCAGAATTATGCCCGCGTAAAATCCACAATCACACTCACAACTCACTGGCACAAAATTAAATTTGGTTTCGTAACACACCGGGCCGGCAGACGAAAACAAAAAAGAAAAAAAACAAGCACTTGGAAATGTTTTAAATAAAGAACTCGTGCGCGGCAGATCTTTGCGTCGCGGTCGTCGAGTCGCGACTGACTCGCGCGTCGGAGCGGTGGTCGCGCCGAGATTCTAATTTTATCGAGCCAGTCAGTAATACGAGATAAGGCCGGTATTTTTTATTATTCTCCATCGCTTTTATTTGTAATATCAACTGACTGGAGAGACCTCGCGTGTAATTCAGAACGAACGAGACTGTGTTCTGTCAGAGATTTACCAATACACCTTATTATGCTGCAAAGCATTTTATCGATTTTTTAATTTTTTTGTTGACTGCAATAATAAAAATATAATCAAAACCAAACCATAATAAAAATATTAGTAGTTTTCATTGCGGTAATTACCGGTTTTTATTTTTCAGCGTGAATTGAGTAAAATTTTATATTTCGGATTAAACAGGTAACACCGGTGACCAATGATTCAGAAATACGGAAAATCAGTATTATGCGACTTGAAAGTCGAAGGTGACTTATAGGGCATCGAGAACCGATTACATTTTAGGAACCGGTTCTTTCAGTTCCCTTCAAAACACAGAACCGGGTACCCGGTTCTTTCGGTTCTTTTGAGGTAAGTAATTTATTTAAAGGGTAGTTGATCAAATAATGAGGTATTTATTCATAATCAATGAATATTTTTCATCAATAATGATGTTTTACTTATTAGAAACACAAGAATCTTTAAAAATTGCACTGTTAACAAAAACCATCGATTTTTTAATTCTGAAATTAATAACAATTAGTTCAGTTCACAGTATGCAGTTCTTTCTTAATTTTGCGAAATAAATAGAAATTTTAATATGTAAATGCTTTTTTTTGCTTACAACTAATCAACTTTAATAATGTTCCAAAATATATAGATATATATTTTGGAATATATATTTTGAAATACAAAGATCTGAAACTAATTGCGCACACAAATACATGTCTACACGCTTGTTCACAAATCTGCACTTGTCCTACAATAGAAATGGCAAAACGCGTTAAGTATCTCGGTGTAACATATATACAATGTATGCGACAAACTAAGGGCGATACCGGCCAAGTTTGCTATTGTTAAAAACAAAATTCCGTATAAAACACTATTGCAGTAGTATAAGGCACTCGGTGAAAGTACAATACATTACGGCCTGAGTAGCTACGGTCGAACCTTCAAATCGCATCTTGATTCGAATAAAGAGCTTCATTTAAGAATTCTTAAAACTATAGTGCCAGAAAAGATAAAAACTCAGTACCTACACAACTACAATGAGCTATTCTATCATTGTGGAGTCCTACCTGTACATGATCAAGTGTGTTGTGCATTACTGATTGAAAACTATCACAATAAAGACTTTCTGAATGCCATCCAACGAAAGAAACTAACACGTAGCGCCTCAAAGATTATATTTGAAGTACCAAGGTATAGCAATCTGTATGGTAAACAGTTGCTACAACACCAGATTCCTAAATTAATAAATAATCTGCCAGAAACAATTAAAAACAAAATTAATCAAAGTAACATTAATTCCATTTTAAAAACATATTTTCTATCCCTTTTAATAACAAAAACAAACATCGACATGATATAAAACTAAAACAAAAAAAATATATATATATGAAACACGAAATCAGCCCGTGTGTTTCAACTCTTTTGGTGTATTAGTCTGCGCGGTGTTTGGCCAACAGATACCTAGCTTTTCACTAAAGGCGGTGCGGTATATGTAAAAAAATATTAATAACATTACCTTACCGATTAATGTCTGATGAATGAATGGTTTAACTTAAATTTGTTGATGAGTAGACGTACCTGCGGGTCTTGATGGCGAACGGCAGTGTCCGGGAAAACCAATACTGGTTTATGAGACACTGTTATACACTTAAGATTATAATGTATTTCTTATAATATAATAAAAAAAAAACATTATTAAACTATATAAAATCAAACATACCGCCGTAAACACAGCAGAACGATGATTCCTTTCCAGTTAAAATGGCGAACTGACCGGCGCGGTGCCTAGCGACATTTTTTTAATAATTTTCATCTTTGTATACGAGACTTTTGAGCTTGCGTGGGTAAACAATATGTTTTAAAATAATAACCGAAACAACCGTTAGAATCGTTACAACCGGGTTTTTACGTTCTTTTAGATACTCCCAGAACCGGGTTTCCCCGGTTCTTTCTTTCCGGGTAGAACCGGTTCCGATGCCCTAGCTTTTTGTTTTAATCTAAGTGCCCTAGTGACTTATGTCGCATTCGACGATACTATGTCAGACGAGTGATTCAAAAATAGAGCTCCTGGGGGCGTTCCTGACTGAGCTGGGCTGGCTGCAGTGACTCCAGTAACACACCCTCTTCACGCAAACCAGGTGCCACACGGATGACGAGTTGCGGAAACGCCCGTGGGAAGAAGAAAAGTTATTTGATAAAAAAAATGATCTGTAATCTGAGTGAAAATAATACCGAGACTTTAACTTCAATACTTAGTGTAAATTTTTTTTTTATGTTTTCGATCGACGATGTCTTCATACAAAGTAATGTTCTGCTTGTCTTACAACTTTTTAATAATTTAAATTAATGTCACCATGGTGTCAGGCCGGTAATTTTAACGTCTTAATAAAGGCTTGGTAATTACTTACTATAATAATGATAAATTTCACGGAAGTACCTCCTGCGGTCTGACAAAAATATAGTTGCAGCAGCGACACCCGATGATTCAGATGTTCAGTTGTTACCTACCTGGTACCACAAAATAGATAGTACAGAAGGTAATCTACATATAAAGTGCGCTCGCGCAACGCATACATAGGCACTGTTCACGGATACGATATGCCTGACCAGTTGCAACTACTGCGAATACAAGTTCCATCCGTTTGAGTCACTTCTATGAATTTGATTGCAAAAATGGGACAAAAAATAAATCTATTATAACAATTCAATAGAGGGTTGTTTAAATTCAACATTAACCAGTGAATTGTCGTTTTTTTATTAGAATTCATCGTCTCTTTTTAATTATAACAATAATATTTAAAATTAAAATATTTAAATTGTTATTGGTTAATATTTCAATTCTTTTTGTTTCATTCTTGAAAGTAAATCAGACAGTAAAATACGAGTGCCACTATCGCGGTAGTTTTTTTTGTGCATAAGTCAAAGTTGACAATCCTAGCGCGACCGCCGGCGCACCGCACCGAGCGTAGATATGCAGTGTGCCGGATAGCACACTTTTTATATCATTCTTTTATATTTATTGTCTATGAGTTTTTGATATTTTTTTATTTAGATTGTATTTTGCTCTGTGACATTAAAAAAAAGAACGTTTCACCTTGTCACTGCCACCACTGTTTTCTTTTCTCTTTAATAATAATTAAATATATAGTTGAGACTTTTTGGCAGGATCGGGCAGCGTCACTTTAGCAGTTTTATTTTTCTTATTAAAAATTGTGTTGTGGCAGATGTTAGTGTCTAATAATGGTGGATTATTAACCACTAAGTGTTCGGGAACATGCACAAGTGTTGGCAAGTGAAACAAGTCAAGTGTTATCTAGAAGAAAAAAAGTCTGTATAGTCTTTATCCAATGAACACTTTGTGTGGAACAAAGTGAAGTTCATTGCATGCGATTACCTTCTGTACTACCCATTCTGTGCTACCACCTTCATTGTGTTGCCAAACTGGTGATATTATTCGGCGACGATGTCTCGAGGTTTCATGCCACTTATCGATAGCCACGTTACGTTAGTCACGCTATACGAATAACGAAGAAGAACAGATGGGTAAAAAATATAAGTCAATATGTATATTGGGTAGTGAATAAGTAACTACAATTAAAAGTTATTGTTAGAACGTGGCAACCGTGTATGTATTCTAATTTATGGTCAGCCTTTTGTTCATTCATTTTGGATTCAGTTTTTCCAATTACCGTTTATCATCTTTTGTCAATTCAATGAACTTACTTTTATTAGTTTCGTATTTATTTCCACTCTTAAACTTAATCTTTGAAACCAATTCACATCCGTCCATAGACTTGTATTTCCGCCGTGCAATCAAATATGAGCTAAGTAAATTACTAATGGGTGCCTGCGACTTCGTCTGGCATGTTTCAACTTATATCCCATACAAACTTTCACCCCACTTTTCACCCCTTAAATAATGATTTCCGGGATAAAAGCTATCCTATGTCCTTTTCCGGGATTCAAATTGACGACCTCCGTGGCCGAGTGGTTTGTATGGGTTTCATGGTGTCGCCGACTCGAGAGGTTCGAATCCCGGTGGGGCAGATGTTTGTGTGATGAATACGAGCATTTGTACTCCAGTCATGGATGTTTAATATGTATTTCTATATAAATATACTTCTATTTGTACAGTATATGTATTCTATCCGTTACCCTAATATCCCATAACACAAGCCTTGCTTACTTTGGGGCTAGGCTAATTGGTGTGAGTGTTGGAAATATTTATTTATTTAAATTAAATTTATACCAAATTTCATCTAAATCGGTGCAGCGGTTTAACAGTGAAAAGGTACAGACACATTTTCGCGTTTAAAATATTAATATGAAAGTATGGATTTCATAAATGCACAATTTCCGTAGCTATATCCTTTCTTTTGTTGAGCTGGCAGACACTTAAACTACTACTATTTTTTTTTCTAATATTATTTTTGTTATCTATATATATAAAAATGAAACCCGTTATCCGTTGTCACTACATAACATGAAAACGGCTTGACCGATTTGGCTGTTTTTTTTTGTAGTTTTCTAATACTCTGTACAAGGTTCTTACGGAAAAAAATATAAAGAAAAATAAAAAAATTGAATAGGTACTCATACATAAGATAGATCAGCTATACAAAATAAAGTAGTGCATCAAAGCTACGCTAAGGCGGTACGAAGTTCGCCGGGTCAGCTAGTAATATAATAATTTTAATATAATAATAATTTATTTATTTCTCTCCACAAACATCAAACGGATCATAGTAAACATAGGTTATTAATATAAATACATTAACGTGTCTGTGGGAGACTGGAGTCTAAACTAGGCAGTAGTCTACCTGTATTTCAGAGCTCCAGGCCTCCAACCCTCGATACAATTTTAAAACACTCCATAAAAACCTAATAGGTATATGTATATTTTTATTTATGGTAGAAACAAATTTAAAATAGAAATCATAAAACTGTGCATGTG